TTCAAGGCTCAGTTCAACTGGCCCCCATCGACATCTTATTTTTCACCCTCCGCCTCGACTGGACAAATACTCCCAGTTGATGCTAGTCCTCCATCTGAAGTGGAGGTTTCCGGGGAAATAAGCTATCGCAAAAGGCATAAGGCTTCTGGTCCCGACGGGCTGCCCCATTGGTTATTAGGAATGGAGGTTCAGCCTTGGTTTTGGAGTTAACAAATCTCCTGGGTTCAGTGTGGGAAAGGGAAGGGGTTCCAGCTGAATCGTGTGAATCGGCGATAATATCATTTTACAAAAAAGGCGACAGGTCTTCCTGTGAATTAGTTAAATCAACATCGTCTCTAAACTTCTCGCTGGCATCATACTCCGCCGATTGTCTACCGCACGTGAACGGTGCACGCGTGAGAACCAGGCTGGTTTTAGACCCGGTCGAGTTTGTATCGACCACATCTTCACTCTCCGCCAAATTCTGGAGCATCGACATTCTTTTCGCAGACCCACCATCTTTGTCTTTCTAGATCTGAGAGCGGCTTTTCACTCAGTCGACCCCTCTAAACTCTGGCACTGCCTTTCCCTGAAGGGTGTGCCCGAGAAATTAATTTCAATATTACGATAGTTTTATACCAATAGCCGAAGTCGAGTCCGGGTCTAGGGCACTTTTTCGCCCGAGTTCGTCAGGGTTGCCCTCTCTCGCCTTTTCTATTCACCTTTGTTATAGATTTCATTATGGAAACAGCCTTATCTTCGTGCGAGGAAAGTGGCATCGATTCCTCCTAGGTGGTAGATTGTCTGATCAGGAGTATGCAGACGATATTGTGCTGGTGTGTTGCAAGCTTTTCTGGATAGCTTGAGTGCCAGTGTAGTTATGTTTGGTATGCGTTTTGCACCTTCAAAGTGTAAAATGTTGCTACAAGACTGGGTTGATCCAGCACCCAGCCTCATTGTAACTGTGGAAGTGATATAGCAAGTGGATAGGTTTTGCTATGAAGGTAGCTATATCTCACTCGGTGGACGTATCACCAATGAAGTGTCAGCTAGCATACAGAAGGCTTGGTTCGCCTTTGCCAACTTGCGACATCCGTGGCGCCGCCGTCATATTGGACTACTCGTAGAGGGTAGAATGTGTTATGTCTCACCAAAACAATCACCCACGACATGTATCCCGATGATCCCACTTAAAAGACAGTTGCAAACAGTGCGAGTCTTTATCAGTCGTGCCAACCAAACGTGAATCGAAAAAGAGAGAAAGGTGTATATGGGGTTGATCACAGTCCAAAATAGCGGTCACGAGGAAGCCGATGAAGAGCATGCACGAAATAGGCTGGCGTTATCTACTCGTTACACTGATAATAACGCATCCAGAACTCTCGAGAAAATGACAACACTTCTTACGGTAGCTGCTGATCTTGATTAATTTGAAATCTAAACAGCGAGAATTCTCAGGGAAGATTAGATATTCCCTCACAGATTACCTTTCGAGATGTATGTCCGCATTTCGGGATTGATTTGCACTTGCGTGGTTTGCGTTCGTTTCCTGTTTGTAAGCCGCCTTGTCAAAATTGACGATTTGTGTCGGC